ATTTCTTCAATTACATTTCCCCTATGAGAGAAAGTCTTTGAAATGGTTATAACGATTTAGTTGAAAAATCTAAAGGTATTCTTAAAGAAGATGAAAAAAAAAAAAAAAAAAAAAAAAGGAAGAGGTGGAAAAAAGAAGAAGAAGAAGAAGCCACAAAGACTACGAAAGTGGATAAAATACGAGTCTACTTTCATAGGATTATTTCACGCGTGAAAGAAGGAGAGAAACTGGGAAGAGATGAGAACTTATGCGTATATACTATATACATATAAAATAAATAGATAACAGTTAGTATATATATACAGGTATCTAGTAGTATATGTATGAGTGTGTATATGAGTGTATGTGTGTATAGGGTGGTTCGCTAAGTTCTGATATAAAAGCAACTCGCAAAAGAGGAGGCCGTATTGTTAAGCAGCCATCCGAAGGACCAACTCATAGACAGAAAAAGAGAGAGAGAGGAAAAGAGAGAGTAGAAAAGAGAGAGATAGAAAGAAGCACAAAACTAAGTTCGTCCCGCGTATTTAAACTTTTATTCGAAAACTTTTTAGTATCATTTCGCATCCTGCTGGATGCCGTGCGACCTTGCGTCCTGGTTGTTTGCAAGCCAAAAAGGAAAATGGCAAAGAGAGGGAGAGAAAGAGAGAAAGAGAGAGAGAGAAGAAAAAAAGAAATAAAACAAGAAAGTAGGATAGAAAAGTATCCGCAAAGGGCCTTAGTGTACGAACGAAGAAGGGACTTGTTCTCGACTTTTCTTCAATATATATAGAAAAATACATGCATATCTAACTCGTATGTATATATTTACTTATATATATATATATATATATAGAGAGAGAGAGGGAAGGGTAGTATATATAGAAAAGAAAATGGCGGATGAGAATCGAGGGTACCAGTAGTGCTTTTTACTAGAATTTCTCTCAAGAATTTTCAGCTATACACGCGAGACAAACCCTATCCCTCCCTGCCATAGTTACCCACCCCCCATCATAATCCCCCCCCCTCGTCTCCTCTCTTCTCCTCTCCTCTCTTCTTCTCTCGTCATACTCGCAAAAGATCGCAATTTGTATAATCCAGACGATTATGGGAAACGAGATAAGTGGAGCACTATCTTAGGCGGTAAGATGCGCCGAGAGCGTATAAAAATATACGGGCCCCTTGTCGGACATCACACGTTGTGTGAGCTAAAGTCTCTTTCCCATGGAATACAATAGAGAGCCCTGTGACTTTAAGAATTATCCTCTTTCTCTAAAAGTTTCAATTTATTCTACCGTTAAACTTTGTTATATTAGTTTTCGGTAGTTAAACTGAATGAATTTTTTTTCCCGTTTCTTTTCATTTCTTTTCTTTTCTTTTTTTTTTTTTTCTTACTTTGTCGTTAAATTTTCTTCATTTTGTTTTTTTATCCCTACCACTCGCGAGGGTAATTTCGAAGAGTGTTCCAAATTTTGTTCAAATTTATTTTTATTATTTCATTAATTTTGCATATCGCGCGTATATTTTTATATCAATTTGATTTACAAATTATATAGATACCTGCTGCATCTACTCTAAAAAAAAAAAAAAAAGTAATACGACATTCTCTCTTATGCAAGAAAGAAAAAAAAAGAAAAAAAACAACAAAGGTCATTCGTAAAGATCGAACAATACCAAACGAAGGGAGACATTCCGTTTGATTTTCTCGCGCGAAAGCGTGCTTTGTCCGTTCGATGGGACAACGATCGTTGGGACATCGAATGCAACAAGTTGAACTTGGCTCGTTTTCAAAGAAGCTGTTGGAATTCATCAAGCTAACACGCGAAAGCTCGTTTTGCACCGTCACTCTTAAACGACCACCGATTGTATTCAATTCTTACCTTATATTTCGATTGAAAAATTATAGATAGTTTTGCGTTAGAGTTTTCAAATGTTACACTTTTAACTAAGAAAAACAAATTTTCTCTCTTTCAATTATTTTTACGATTAGATTTATTTACGAATAAAAGTATCAATTCATTTGAAGGCCCATATAAATTGAGAGATAAATCATTTTTGTTAAAGTACGTTCTATAATTAATTAGTTCTTATCAATTAATCTATCTAATTAATTTTGAATGCAATAAAAAAAATACACATTTTTCAAAAACATTTTAATTTATTTACTTAATATAAATAATTTCTTTTTCTTTTTTTTAAATATATTTATACATATATGATACATTTATAATTTTCTAATCCTACTAAAAATCCTTTTCAAACTCGACACTATGATACAAGAATGAAACGATAAAAGGAGAAAAGAAAAAAACAAAAGGGTTAGACCGATAACACTTATTCTCTCTCGCGAAATCTCCTCCTCGATCGAGCCAGATTTACAAACTAACACAACAACCAACAACCAACTGCCAACAATGACAATGACAACACAACACCATCGACAATAAAAATAACAACAAGCGACGATGATCGATCGTTTCGAAATGGGAAAAAAAAAGAAAATAAAAATAAAAAAAAAAAATAGAAAGAAAAGCCGCCCACGATGGAAGCCGAAAAGATCGTCTGCTGGCACAGTCACGGATTCGAAGGTTTTTTTTAGCTGACAGAAGACAACGCTGACGCTCTTTAATCTCCGTTTCTCGATAAAAAAAAAAAGAAAAAAAAAGAAAAGCTTCAACCATCCATTTGAATACGTTTGAGTTCGATACATCGACGCGAATCCGGTTTGAATGCAAGCTGCACGCGACTTGCCTTCTCTACGCGTCATGTGGAATAGTGCTGTGTAAAGAGAAATAACAACAAAAAGAAAAATTAAAAAAATAGAAAAAGATAGAGAGAGAGAGGGAGAAAGGTGGTTGTGCATGCTGGATTATCTATGAACGAAAAGAAAAGAAAATAAAAAAAAAACAAATATATATACATAAAACACACTATATTATAACAAATGTTTAACATGTTAACACAACGATATCATCGAGCAATCAAAAAAAAAAAAAAAAAAAAAAAAAATTAAAATAAGAGAGTGAGAAAGATAGACGGATATAATATCATAGATCAATATTTAACATAACATATATATATTAACATAATATTAAATTAATACACGCATAAAAATTAATCGAAATAAGAAAGAGAGATACCTATTCATATATATACACATATATTATACACACGTATATGTTATACCATAGATAAATGTTCAATAAAAAAATAACATTAAAAGGAATAACAAAAAAAAAAAGAGAAAAAGAGAGAGAAAGAAAGAGAGAGAGAAAGAAAGAAAGAACGTATGAAAAATCCTCTCCTAGAGAAGAATAATCGTACAGAAAAATAGTGCGCTTTAGTTGCGCGTATCCTATACCTGGGTCACATGAGAAAAGGTCCTAATCTATTTTCAGGACGAGCGAGCACACCCCCACCAGCAAAAAGGCCAACCACCGTGTGGCCATCCTCGTACAACCCGTACTATCCGAAAAGGACGGAAAGACCATCGCCACCGAGCGAAGAGAGGGTCGACAGGCCTGAACAGAAACTACGTGGTGGTTACAGTACAGGTGAGGCTTTCATTCTCTCACCTGACCTCGAACACCCTTCCATCTTTTATCTCTCTCTCTCTCTCTCTCGCTATATCTCTCTCGCTATCTCACTTTATCTATCTCTATTTCACTCTCTCATACATTAACACACGCTCACTCACGTATACACTCTGTTCCTTTCATTTAATCTTCCAACATTCGGTCCATTCATGGAAATGTCATTTCTCATCGTCAACCATCTTTCTCTTTAATCCACTTTCTATCTATCTATCTATCTCTCTCTCTCTTTTTATCGCTTTTATAAAACATTTATTTGATAATTTTAATATCAGCTTTTATATATTATTATATTTGAAGCTTACAGGATTTGATAAAGTAATATATTTGATTACTTCATTTACTTGTTTGACATTTGTTACTCTATAGGTATCTATATGTGTATATATATATATATATATATATTATTATTATTATATTGATCTTTTTCTCTGTTCCCTCCTTTACTTTTCCTTTCATCGCAATCAACTCTTTCTCTCTCTCTCTCTATTTTTTCTTTTTCTTCGTTCGGTTCTTTTCATTCAAACAGTAGAACGTTTTCATCCAAGCATCACCTCCTCCTCATCCTCACTCTCCGACTCGTTTTTAATTTTCTTCGAGACCCCGAATCCAAATTATGCAAGTTCAAAGAAAACAAACTCGAAGGATGAGAACGAAACTCAGGGGAACTACATACGTATGTATGTATGTATGTATGTATGTATGTATGTATGTATGTATGTATGTATGAGAAGTTAGTTCGCTCTTCTTCGTTTCTCAGGGCGCGTTTTCTTTTCTCTCTGTGAAATACACATGGTCATTGTTCCTTTTTTTTTTTCATTTGACAAAACTTTTCTCTTCTCTTCTCTTCTCTTATTTCTCCCATTTCTTTATCCTTTTTCTGTCTACCTTACTATGTCTCTTAAGGTATACCATCCGTTTACCAGATAGATCGAAACGCAACGATCCGATATCGTTTTCTCTCGTCTGACTACTATCGTTCCATTCTAAGAAGAGCATGAACGTTATCCTTTGGAAGGATAATCCTATCGTAAGATTCCTCTTAGGATCACTTGGCTTTGGATAGCTAGCTAGCTAGCTAGTGGTAGTAGTACTATTCCAACAGTTTGAAAATTCGCTAGCTTTTCATGAGTCAGCGATAGATCGATCCTAACGCAACTGTTATATATATACGAGCATACAATTACATTTTATTTACTTTTATTCATCAAATTATTTTCTAATATCAAAAGCATTAACTACTAAATCAAAAATCCATCGTTTTTTTTTTATTATCATCATCATTTTCAAGAATCTATGATAAATCGATCACAACGAGTAAACATTACATTTAAATACGTAATAATTCAAATTATTTAGCAATATCAAAAGCATGCATGCATCAAAGTAAACACGTCACACGTATAATAGTCGTTTTACATGATTTTCAAAGAATCATTGATAAATTGATCAACTGTGTTACATAAACAAACGTGTTACATTTTAGTACATAATCTTAATTATTTTGTAATATTAACGTATACATAATCTATCTCTCTCTCTCTCAATCATATTATTTATATCAAATTTGTAAAGGATCAATACTCGATGATGATTATTAGCTTCTAAACTCTATTGATAACACATATTTGATTTTTAAAAATAATTTGAAAAATTATTTTCTAACATCAAAGCAATATCGTATAATTATCGATTGCATATATATGATAAAACATTTGCATTTGTTCAAAACATGGCACTGCAAATTCTCTAGTTAAAGCCTATCAAAAGGACGTATATCTACCTATTTCGACATAACGACACAAACGATTTCAAGTACATGCAAGCTCGTATAGAGAATTTAATCCCTAGGATGATATTAGAGAACGATCCTACTATATCATTTCCCATTGACTTTCATTCATTAATGCTCGTTATCCAAGCAAATTTCATCTCCCTTTCTCGCTCTCTCTCTCTCTCTCTCTCTCTCTCTCTCACCCTCTCTCTCTTTCTAAAGTAGAGATTCAAAGTGTGATTCGCGATCTACACGTGGGTCTCGTTAAATATTAAAAATGAAGAGTAGTTAACGTGTTCATTCATTAGGTAAATTTTATTTTGTCGAGAATCGCCAAATGAACAATTCAACGTCAATTCAATTAAGGATCACATGAGAATTATTATTTCTGTTGAATTTTCCTCACCAATGCAT